AGAGAGAGGCCTTCCATCTGCTAGTTCACTCCCTAAATGGCTGCAACAGCCAGAGCTGGGCTGAGCCAAAGCCAGGAGCCAGGAGCTTTTTCTGGGTCTCCCACGTGGGTGCAGGGGCCCAAGGACTTGGGCCATCTTCCACTGCTTTCCCAGGCCATAGCAGAGAGCTGGATCGGAAGTGGAGCAGCCGGGTCTCAAACCGGTGCCCATATGGGATGCCAGCACCGCAGACAGTGGCTTTACCTGTTACGGCACAGCACCGGCCCTTCCTCTATCTCTTATCTCTCTCTAATGCTCTCTGCGATTCAGTTAAATAAATCTCTAAAAAAGCACATGTTTATTTTGGTGCAAAATTGTTTTGAAAGCTGTGTTACTCATTTTACATGAAATTTTGGAAGACACTTTGTATTCATGGGTCCTGAAACTTTTTGACACCAAAATATTGCTTCTCTGTAATTCCATTTCCCGCGAGCTCTTGGAAGCTCCCTCATCTTGTGCAAGTAACCGTTTTAAGCTATAGGAGTGACTTTGGAAGCGGTGGCAGGTGTCACTGCCGAAGGATCAGGAGCTGATTCCACTGGGAGTGTCTGGGGGAGGTTGTCACTGGTGCCTCCGGTGACTCCATTTGAGGTGTGGGCACAGCTCGCATAGCGATCGAGGAAGTACGTCACCGCGTTTGAGAAAATACCGCACCCCTTAGCGATTCCCAGGTCTTTCAGGTAGGTTCAGGCAGTTGTGTTCCCGACACCCACACGCGCGCATTCATATTAGGCGTGTATTTATATGTATGTTCATATCCGTGTCTATGTGAAATTCCTCACTTTAGTTTGTTGACAATGACTCAGAGGTTATGAAAATTGCCGAGCCAGCATCATCTGGGGTCGTGTGCGTAATTCAACCCTGGCAACACGGAGGCAGAGTGGTGAAGACACAGTTGGGGAGTGCCGGGGTTTGAGTCCTGCTCCGATTCTAGTTCCAGCTTCCTGGTAGTGCCCACCCCCAGAGGCAGCACGTGATGACTCCAGTATTGGGTCGCAGCCACCTGCTGGGGAGACTCAGGTTGAGCCCGGGTGGTTGTAGGCATTCGGGGCGTGAAGCAGTGGATGGCAGCCCTCTGCTCGTCTCCCGCTTTCTCTGTATCTTGCCTTTCAGATAAGTAGGTAATTCTGAAAATGGAAAGATAAGCTTACTCTGACATATAAATATTCTGAATATTAGGGATTAAGGATTCGGGGTCATGTTTACAGTGTTCCGTCTGCTGTGCTGACGGATGTCGTCTAGTGAGGCGAGCAGATGCCACGTGCCCCGGGCTGTAAAGCAAGTAGCCGGGGCCAGCACCAGCAGCGGTGCACACGCGTGGCTGTTGGCGAGCAGGGACCCAGCAGTGCACACGCGTGGCTGTTGGCGAGCAGGGACCCAGCAGTGCACACGCGTGGCTGTTGGTGAGCAGGGACCCAGCAGTGCACACGCGTGGCTGTTGGTGAGCAGGGACCCAGCAGTGCACACGCGTGGCTGTTGGTGAGCAGGGGCCTGACGTGGCAGCAGTGCACACGCGTGGCTGTTGGAGAGCAGGGACCCAGCAGTGCACACGCGTGGCTGTTGGAGAGCAGGCCGGAGGGTAGATCCCGCCTCTCACGACGGCCTGGCATCTCACCCCTTCCTGCTCAGACACCTCTTCTCCCTGTTGAGTCAGATACTTTATTCTCCACTAAATCAGGTTTCCCCTGTGTTTGTGGATCGTCCTGCAGTTCTGAAGCAGCGACTATATTTATGGGACAAAATATTTGTCGGTTGTTTCCTTGTGTTTCTGTTTGGGAGTAAGAAGGACAAAAGTAACAGGAAGTTGGTGCAGGACAGACAGAACAAGGAAGCGAAGTAGCAAAAGACGGTGTTTTCCGTTGCTGTATGTTGTGGATTCGTTTTTGTGTAATTTCTTTATTATTATTATTATTATTTTTACTTATTTGACAGGTAGAGTTAGACAGTGAGAGAGAGAGAGAAAGGTCTTCCTTCTGTTGGTTCACCCCCAAATGGCTACTACGGCCGGTGCGCTGCACCGATCCGGAGCCAGGTGCTTCTCCTGGTCTTCCATGGGGTGCAGGGCCCAAGCACTTGGGCCATCCTCCACTGCACTCCCGGGCCACAGCAGAGAGCTGGCCTGGAAGAGGAACACCTGGGACTAGAATCCGGCGCCCATACGGGATGCCAATGCCATAGGCGGAGGATTAGCCAAGTGAGCCACGGTGTCGGCCCCTGTGTAATTTCTTTTAAAGACTTACTTCTTTGAACGTAAAAGTTAGAGAGAGAGGGAAAGACAGAGAGGTCTTCCATCCGCTGGTTCACTTCCCAAGTGGCTGCAATGGCCATGGCTGACTCAGGCCAAAGCCTGGAGACAGGAGCCGAGCACTGGGCCACCTTTGCCTGCTTTGCCTAGGCCGTTAGCAGGGAGCTGGATCGGAAGTGGAGCAGCCAAGACTCGGCCGGCACCCGTGTGGGATGCCAGTGTCACACATGGTGGCCTAACCCACTACACAACAGTGCCCGTATTTCTGTGTGATGAATGTGGCCGTGCCCCGCACCTGCTGGCTGTGACGGTAGGCGTGTTCTCGTTCCTCCTAAGCTCAGGGAGCGTAGGCAGGTCACGTGCAGGAGGAACCTCACAGAATGAGGATCGGTACCACGCCTGCCTCCTCTTAGAAAGTTTCTCAGCATTGCCAGGGAGTGTGCCCAGTGCCCACAGCATGGCCCGCGGTCCCGATTCGTTCTGATGCTCCTGCATTTCCTGAGAGGTTAAAGGTCAGAGTCTGTGTGGCCCTCCAGCCGCTGGTCACTCCCAGCCTGCCTGTGAAGCCGCCGTGCCGCGGAGCTGATGCTCAAAAACCCCTTCCTGCTACTTCACACGTGCGTACATAAATGGGCACTCCCCAGGGCAGGCCTATTTTTAGGTGGATTCACTTCTGGTCTTTGGAATTTCAGTGCATGGGAAAGACTGGTGTGTCACAGCTGTTGGAATCTGAACTTAGATTTTTCCCTTTGAGTCCACATCGTGGTTTTTAAAATATCCTAATGTATGTCTTCAAAGGCCCCAGGTCGATAGGCCAGTGGTTTTGAGATGACAGAGTGCTGTGATATTCCCGGGTAATTTCAACATGATTAGCTGATGAAGGTTATGATCAATACACTAGGGGAAGATGAATTAATTGATCCCGTCCTTGCGGGATGCTGAGAGGCCTGTTGGGGTGGGATGCGGCTAATGAAGCTGCTGCCACATCCCCGGGAGCCATTTTTTATGCACTGCGTCCTCACTTCATCACATCCGCGCCACCGTTCATTTACATGAAAGCCACCAGCTGTGGACAAAGCAGTTCCTTATTAAAATTGCGTGTGTGCGGAGAAGGAATTATCTGGGAGTCCAGTGTGCGTCCCTTGTGTGTCCCACGCCATTGCCAGGGCATGGTGGGGTGCTCCCTGGCTCGGGCCACGGGAGCAGCCGTGGGCAAAGATGTGGATGGAGTGTGGCTGAGCTTCCTGGAGCCGGTCCCCAGACACACGTCCCTTTGTTTGAAGGGATGTTCTCCTGCTGCGACACCTGTTGGTGGAAAAAGAGCGTTCTCGTCGCGACTTCCTTTCCAATTAAATTCAGTACACTTTATCAGCGAAGCCATTTGCCAAGAGAAGTTATGGCTGGTTGAATTTGAATTTGTATTGATTAAGATAAACTTCTATTGCGTGTCCTAATGTATTTAACGGTTAGTAAAAGAAAAAGGTCTTTGATGCAATACGTGCCCTTGAATATAATTCTGTAATGTGTAGCTTCACGCAGTTCACAGTAATTCTTTAGGTCACACAAAAAAGATTTTTGGCTTTCAGAGGGATTTAGTGAAATTACCTTGTCTTGGGATTATTCTTGCTCTAAAAGCTGGGGGGGGGGGGGAATCACTTTTAGATGAGAATAACTTAAAGAGACAAGTCTGTGTTTTTGTTTCATGTTCAAGTCCTCCGTGATCATCCGAGTAGGGCTGCTGACGCCTTCTGTGGGGTCGGAGGGCCGGCTCCTCCCGTCTCCTGCTTTACCAAGGGTGGCTTCTGGTCTAACGGTGCCTGCTGCCCGAGAGGGCTGCCGGGGCTGTGGCCAACACCTGTGCGTTTCAGGCAGCGGGCAGGTGCAACAAGGGGGTAAAGGGGCAAAGGGCGGCCCTCGCTCCGGGGATACGTCCGCATACCGCCTTGTGGTCCTTCTGCGCGCACCCCATGGGCCGGAGCTTTCGTGCGTGGCCACGCATGGGAGCGAGGGTGGGAGGATGCCCTGAGCAGTCTGGCAGCTGTGTCTCCCTCCCTACCCCCCGCTGCCCCCGGCAACCAGGAAAGTATTACTGGGGAGGGAGGACCGCAAGGGCTTCGGCGCTCACCAGCATCACCCCTGCGGCGACTGTGCCTGCAGACCGGCCTCACGTTTTTTTCTTTTGTTCTGTGTCCTCTAGTCGCCCAGAAGATTGTAGCCACGAGGAAGAAGCAGCAGCTGTCCATAGGCCCCTGCAAGTCTCTCCCCAACTCCCCCAGCCACTCCTCTGTGTGCTCCGCCCAGGTGTCGGCCGTGCACACAAGCCAGGTATGTCGGGCAGCCCGGGGCGGCGGGTTCAAAGGGGGCTCCCACAAGTCGCTGGAAAATGGAATTAAAACCGAAAGTTTATTGTGCCGCAGAATTTGTTTGTAATCTATGGATGTTAGGAGTTTTCAAAAAGTTCCTTAAAGACGTGTGTTACCACAAAACTCCGCCCAGCCTTCAAAAACTGTTTGGACCAAGATAACTCACCTCCTAATCCCATTTGTCCGCCAGTGTCTCCAAGTGCCCTCATAGCTTTCACGGCCCGCAGTGCTGCTGCTGGGTTGAGTTTTTTTTTTTTTTTTTAATTTCAACTTTATAAGTAGCAGCGTGTTGCTGATTGCTTTAACATTCCCTTCAGAAACTGCTGTGGCCGTGTGGTTTTTATGGGACGTGTTCTTTGATGTTCTTGCCTGTGTTAGGAGGCATGCTGGCACGGGGGCCGGGCAGGGTGATTTAAAGCACCCAGCTCTGGGCCTGGTCTGGTCCGCTTGTGGGCTGAACAGTTGTGAGTAAATCTCAATGGCCAATTCCACTCTCCGCTCAGATCTGGTGCTGCTGGCGTTCGACTGTAATGAGCATCTCCCTTAGGCCCCGTAGAAACTGCTGTCTTCCCGTAACAGTGTCTTGCTAAATTATTTACTAGGAAGCAAACGCGGTAATTGTCACCCGGAAGAGCCCAACCCGAGGCCCACGCAGGAGGCTGTCGGCCTGGCGTTGCCTGGGCTTGTGTTTTGGGTCAGTGTCTGTTGGCACTGGTTTTACTAACAGGTGCAGCTGCAAGGTTTTCGGCATCAGACTTTGGTTTGGGCTTGGGCAGTCAGTAAGTTACTGGGTCAAGTGTTGGGCCACCAAAAGGTATAGTCCCAGATGTCAGCGTCTTCACCGTCGCTGGCGTTCGTTTTCTGTCATTCTTGACAAAATACACGAATGCACTGAGATTTTCCAGGGTCAGTCGTGCCCTCCTGAGTGAGCCAGTCCTCTGTCTGCCTCTCGTCTCGAGCAGTGAGGGAACCCTAGAACTTGTTCAGCCCAACCAACCCCTCATTTTTCTGGGGAAAAGGAAAATTAAGGCATCGTAACTCGGAAAGCATCGGACAGATGCTTCTTTTTCTTTTTCTTTCTTTCTTTCTTTCTTTTTTTTTTTTTTTTGACAGAGTTAGACAGTGAGAGAGACAGAGAGAAAGGTCTTCCTTTTTTTCCATTGGTTCACCCCCCAAGTGGCCGCTAATGTCCAACGTGTTGCGGCTGGCCTGCTGCGCTGATCTGAAGCCAGGAGCCAGGTACTTCTCCTGGTCTCCCATGGGGTGCAGGGCCCAAGCACCTGGGCCATTCTCCACTGCACTCCCTGGCCACAGCAGAGAGCTGGACTGGAAGAGGGGCAACCGGGACAGAACTGGCGCCCCGACCGGGACTAGAACCCGGTGTGCTGGCACGGCAGGCGGAGGATTAGCCAAGTGAGCCACGGCGCCGGCCCAGAGGCTTATTTTTTGATATGATTGGTACATTCTAGAATGAGACAGTGTGTGTGTGAGCCTGGTAGGACCAGAGTCAGAGAACCGTCTCCTGGGCCTCTGCAGTGAGGTTTGCCAGCTCGGGCGGCCGACTCAGTTCTAGCGTGCAGCGTTCCTAAAACCCCGGTCTTTCGTCATTCCAGACAAGTAACGGCGGTGGGAGTTTAAGCGACTACTCCTCCTCAGTTCCGTCGACGCCAAGCACCAGCCAGAAGGAGCTTCGGATCGACGTCCCCCCCACGGCCAACACGCCCACGCCCGTCCGGAAGCAGTCCAAGCGCCGCTCCAACCTGTTCACCGTGAGTGTCCACCTGGGCAGGTGACGCTTGAGCGTGGTCCCCGGGAGTTCTCTCGCGGTGAGCTCGGCTGCCAGACCGTTCAGCAGTAGCTGTAGAACCCGGAGCACGTTCCCGAAAGCGATGGTTTGGATGCTCAGTGGGGTGGGCGGTCCTTGGCGTGGGAACGGCAGAGCGAGGCTTTGGGTGAAGATCATTCCCGCCCTGTGACTTGCGTGGCCTCTCTCTAAAAACGTGTCGCATTAGGTGTGAGAGGATGACAGCTGTGCCCCAAATCCCGCTGTGTGTGTGTGTGTGTGTGTATCCGAGCTGATGAGCTGGCTAAGGCACTGCAATCCCCAGTCCGCCTTGCCCTACTCAGGGCCGGAGTGGGGGCAGGGCTTGGAGGTGGGCGGGGCTCTTGACACCAGGAGGCTTTTGAGGTTCTGCATCAGTCATCTGTGGAGCCTCTCAAACCTGGGGGTCAGACGTCTGGTCAGAATCTGTGGTGGGCCCGGGCGTGTGCCGTTATTCCGAGTCCCTGTGGCGACTAAGATGTGTCGAGGAGGCAGAAGTGCTGTGGCCCTGTCCGTGCCCATGGGTGCGGCAGGAGTCGCCGATCAACCCTGCGAGGCTGCGCAGTGGGGCCCTGAGTGCCAGGCAGAGCTGCGGTGCTGCCTTGCACTGGTTCTGTGCGGTACACGCACCTGCTTGTGAGCGCCGGTTCTCAGCCCCGGGCGGCTTGACTTCCCGCCGACGTGGGGCAGTTTGTGGCGGCGTCTCGGATGTCACCAGCGGGGCCATGGGATTTGAAGCACTGAAGCTCTAGCCTTGGGGAGCACCCATGGGTGCTGCTGCCCGTCTCGCAGTGCCCAGGTCAGCCCCAGCACAGAGCGCGGCCCAGCCCCTTGGCTGTCAGTGGGGCCCTGTTTTCAACCTTCTGACTTCTTCTTGGGGTTGATTCCTGCTGACTTAGACGTAAAGAGGGTGAACATGTCCTGTCCTGAGCTAAAGGAGGGCACCAGAGCTCTGGCCGGGGGTGGGGCGGGCTTGTCTGTTACCTGACCCGCTGCCCTTCCCTGATGAGGGTACCTGCCACCACGTGCCTGCAGGTGGAATCCCTCCCTTTGCCCCCACACAGGTGGCAGTCTCCCACGGGACAGTCATTCCCGCCAGGGTCTATGGCCAACAGCCCCCGCCCTTCCCACCCTCCCCTCTCCTTTGCTGACTGCCCTGAGCCACTGCTGGCGGGTGAGAACAGACCAGGCTCGGACCCTGGCCTCCTCTGCTGGTGGCTGTTCGATCTCAGGCGAGTTGCTTGACCTCTCTGAGCCAAGAACAGTGGAACTGCTGCAGGGGTCTGTTGGGAGACTTCCTGACGGGGCGGGGAGGAGCCCTTGTGGCCCCATTTTTTCTCGCTGCTGCTGCTATAGCCCCGAGTTTTCCGTCGGTGGAAGGCGGCATTGGCTTAGGGCCTGTGACTGGGGGTGGTGTTCAGGTGTCTGTGGAACACAGGTGCACATCTGATAGGCTTCCTACACACACAGCAATGGGAACCTCAGCGGCTCTGCCTGGAGGCTGCGACACCCGTGTCCCTTTTCTGCTCGCACGTCTGGGACAGGCCATGACAGGCCGTGCAGTCCGCGTTCCCGGGGGGGGGGGGGGGGCTCAGGGGCCACTGCCTGCACGGGAAGATGGGGAAGCCTCCTGTGATTGTCCCAACCCCGGGGGGGGGGGGCAGGGGAGCACGGCCGGGCCGTCCCCACCTCCAGAGGCCACACCTGTGTGCTCTGTTCTAAGGAAAGGAAGGGCAACGAGGAAGCACCTTTAAAACTCGTCTGTGCATAAGCAGACGGCGGCACGCCCTCCTGCCGCCTGTCCCGGGCAGCTTTGGAGTCAGAGTGTGCCAGGAGGCGGCAGCCCGGGCCCCCGGGGAGAGCACTGTGTGCCGAGCAGGAGGCATCCAAACCCTCCCGAGCCAGTGCCGTGCGGGGTCTGGTGTGCCTGTGGCCCTGGGGGCGGCGCTTGTTGCCGGAGTCGACCACGTTCAGGAGGGCGTGGCTTAGAGAGGAGGGGGAGGGCTGTGCGCTGGGGGAGTCGACCACGTTCAGGAGAGTGTGGCTTAGAGAGGAGGGGGAGGGCTGTGCGCTGGGGGAGTCGACCACGTTCAGGAGGGCGTGGCTTAGAGAGGAGGGGGAGGGAGGGCTGTGCGCTGGGGGAGTCGACCACGTTCAGGAGAGCGTGGCTTAGAGAGGAGGGGGGAGGGCTGTGCGCTGGGGGAGTCGACCACGTTCAGGAGGGCGTGGCTTAGAGAGGAGGAGGGAGGGAGGGCTGTGCGCTGAGGGCAGACGAGAGAACCGAGAGGGTCTGCGGCCAGCAGGGTCCAGCCACGCAGACAAGTGTGCGCACACGCATGCACCCGTTGATGTTCACAGACATGCAGAGGCACTCACATGCTACTCATGTTCACACCCACCTGTCACGTGCACACACACTGCTCACGTTCACACACACCTATACACGTGCACACTGCTCACATTCGCACCCACCTGTCACGTGCACACACACTGCTCACATTCACACACACCTGTGCACGTACACGCACACCGTTCATGTTCACAGACATGCAGAGGCACTCACACGCTACTCATGTTCACACCCACCTTTGCATGTGCATGCACACTGTTCACGTTCACACCCACCTGTCACGTGCACAAACACTGCTCACGTTCACACACACCTGTGCATGTGCACGCACACGCTATGTTCACAGACATGCAGAGGCACGCACACGCTACTCATGTTCACACCCACCTGTCACATGCATGCACACTGCTCACGTTCACACACACCTATACACGTGCACACACACTGCTCATGTTCACACACACCTGTGCACGCGCATGCACACCATTCATGTTCACAGACATGCAGAGGCATGCACATGCTACTCATGTTCACACCCACCTGTCACGTGCACTCATGTGTCACACACTCACCTGTCACTCACTCACGTGCAGTTATAGCCTGCTCATGTTCACACACACCTATGCATGGGCATGCACACACTACTCACATTCACACACACCTGTGCACAAACACTGCTCACGTTCACAGACATGCATGGGCACGCACACACTACTCACGTTCACACACACCTGTGCACAAACACTGCTCATGTTCACACACACCTGTGCACGTGCACGCACACTGCTCATGTTCACAGACATGCATAGGCACGCACACACTACTCACGTTCACACACACCTGTGCACGTACATGCACACTGTTCATGTTCACACACACACCTGTGCATGGGCACGCACACACTACTCACGTTCACACACACCTGTGCATGCACACTGCTCACGTTCACACCCACCTGTGCACCTGCACGCACACTGCTCATGTTCACAGACACGCCCGCACAGGCACACACACTCCTGCAGAGGCACACACATGCTGCTCACGTTCACACGTGCCTGTGCATGTACACCTGTCTACACAGGCACACACGGCTACTCACATTCACACGTACCTGCACAGGTACACATGCGGTTCACGCTCACACATGCCTGTGCATGTTCACATATGCCGCTGTCTGCACACCTGGCTCACGTACACACACACACACACACACACACACTACATATGCACCTTCACACACATGTACAGGCATCCAAGGTAAGGCCAGGAATCTGAGGCTGTCTAGGCCAGCGAAGCAGGTGTAGGAGCTGATAAAACTCACTGTAGGGACGGGCATCGCTGCTTGGATGCCCACACCCCTCTATCAGAGTGCCCGGTTTAAGTCCTGGCCACTCTGATTCCGATCCAGCTTCCTGCTAGTGCACCCTGGAAGGCAGTGGTGATGGCTCAAGGGCTTGGGTCCCTAAAAGCCTCAGAGGGAGCTCCAGGCTTCTGGCTTCAGTCTGCCCAGCCCTGCGGGGTGCAGGCATTCGGGGGAGTGAAACAGCAGACGGGGGCTCCTCTTCCCTCTCCGCCTCCCTCTCTGCCTTTCAAGTAAAGTGAGAATAAATAAATTAAAAGATTGTAAAGCCTCATCGTTGTAGTGACTGAAAATCACCCTTGAGTGTATCATAATCAATATATCTCGTAATAGCTGTCTGTGAGTCTGCGCCTTATCGGTGTGTGCGTCCCTTGTCGTCATGGTCGAGAGGAGCCGTTTTGGGGCCAGAGAGAAGCGGACGTGACAGAGGGCTTGTGCGGTGGCCTTTGCACAGGGGGCCGCTGCAGTCCCAGGGCGGGTTTGACGTTGAACAAGATAATGGGGAAGTGAAGGTGCCGCTGGAGGTGTGGTTTCTCATGGGAAATCCTGGAAATAGTAGCTCCACTAGAGGTCAGTGTCATCCAAGGAACGGAAAGAAGGCAAATTAATTTTGAAATGATAGCAATTAAGAAATTAAATTCGTATTGTTACAGTTTGTTCCTCTTCTTAAATATGTAACCTCTCAGAGACTCTCCATCCCTGGTAATTGTGGGTAATTATTGACTGAAGTTGTCAAAATGTGTATATAGAGGCGAAGGAGCGAGCCTGGGGACGGGGCTGTACCCGCCACCTGGGGGGCACCGTCCACCTGCGAGCCAGACCGGTGGCACACAGCCATGCTGCACAGCCACCAGCAGGCCTGCAGTGTCCCTCTGCGGGCTCGAACCTTCGCTCCCAGACACTGCCAGCTGCGTACGCACACGTGTGTGAATAAGTCACCTGCACGTTTTACAGAACGGCACAGGCGCGCCACCTCTCACGGCAGCAGAGCGCGGCTTACCTTGGCTGCGTGGAATCTGCCTCACTAAAGAAGGCTCAGTCGTCTCCCGTCTCGCCGGTTCCTTTCAAACATTGTTTTGTGGAAACAGACGTTAAAAGACAATGTCCACTCAGCCCCGGTTCATAGCCTGAGTTCTTGGAGCAGCTGATTTAGCTCAGTAACCGGAACTCACTTGGGATTAGGATGCTTTCCTGGAGGACATTTTCAGACATGCAGAAAAGGAATGCTCGCTCACCGCGCAGCCCATCAGGGCCGGCAGGTTCTGTGGCCGCTGCGCTGTCACAAAGTGAGCAAATTGTTGGCAAACGCCACAGCCCTCGCAGGACAGCCCCCACGGGCTCCCGCGTCTTGTCGCCTGGGCCCATCACACACCTGCATTTGCGTATGTTGTCTGTTCACGTGTCCTTCCACTCCACGCCGCGTTGCCCCGCTGTTTTCAAGCTTTGTAGCGATGGCAGCACCTACACGAGGTGTTTTAAAGCATTGCTGTAAAATGCCGACATCATCGAATGGCCAGGTAGGCCCGGTACCCCGAGGTGGACGTGGCCCGGTCCTCACAGCTCCCAGTGCCCAGAGGTGGATGTGGCCCTGTCCTCACAGCTCCCAGTGCCCAGAGGTGGACGTGGCCCGGTCCTCACAGCTCCCGGTGCCCAGAGGTGGACGTGACCTAGATGCCCAGTGCCCAGAGGGGGACGCGGCCCGGTCCTCACAGCTCCCGGTGCCCAGAGGTGGACGTGGCCTAGATGCCCAGTGCCCAGAGGGGGACGCGGCCCGGTCCTCACAGCTCCCGGTGCTGTGAGGCGGCAGCGAGTGTGGTCTGGATGGAGCTGCCGGTGTGGAGCGTGGAGGCCGGGCCCCGGGTGTGGCGTGTTCCTGCAGCCTTCCGGGAGCTGGTGGGAAGGGGAGGTGGGTTTCCGATTGCGGCCAGGCCCCCGTGCGCAGGTGGTTGAGAGCTGTCCCTGGCTGGCTGCTCATCAGGCGAGGCCGAGTTGGACCTTTCTGCAGAGATGAGGTCATCGTGCATTTGTCTCCTTCCTCGTCAGTGTCAGTGGGAGCGAAGCGGCCCCTGCTGTGGCTTTCGGTCCCAGACCTTCTGTGAAAGGTGTGGTCATCTCCTGCGCTGTCCCTAGCAGCAGGCGGCCCGCCTGGAGGCAGCTGCTGGCCGCCCTTGACGCACGCAGTGGCCGCTGAGGGCGCCTGTGTCTGACGACTTCTCAGAGCCATTTCCGCAGACAGGCAGTGCCGTCGCCAAGGCTGGCAGGAGAAGACCTTCCTGCGGGTTGTGCGTCGCAGTGTTGTATGCCTGGCGCGTTTGCTTTAGCGGAATTGCTGCATTCCGATTTCACTGGTCCGGCCTGCTGTTGGAGACCGGGTAATGGGGGGCTGGCGTGCCGCAGGCTCCGGGCGTGGCGGGTTGCCCTGCTTCTGCCCCGAGAGTCCAGTCTGCGACGACTCCTCTGCCCGAGGGTCGGAGCTGCCGGGAGTTCTTGGTGCCGTTCTTGCGATGCGGTCTGACCTCGGATGCCATCCGGTTGTCTAGGATGCCGTCCGGTTGTCTCGGATGCCGAGCCGTCTTGAGCTCAGTCCCGTGTGGCCCCTGCTCCGAGGTGTTTGCAGCAGTGCGATGGGCCGTCTGCTCCTGTCCCGCTGGAAGCTGGGACCCTGCTCTGAGAGGGACAGATGTGCTGCCTTGAGGAAGATGTTAATTTTTTTTAAGAATGTTTGTTTTGTTAATTATTCTGGTTAATAGAGAATAATGAAGATGGATTTCCAAGTTTGGAATGTTAGTATTCATAAAATTCCCAAACTGCCGTTCATATCTTTGTCAACTTAAACTGTTTTTAAAATATCCTCACAGTGAGCTTTGAAATTTATTTTGCAACTGGAAGCCGCCCACGCCAGCTTTCCCCTGAACTGAAATGTGGGGGAGGAGAACCCAAGGCCCGCCGCGGGTGGCTATTGGTCTGCGTTGCTAATGTAAGAACTGCCTGATTAAAGAGGAGCGAGCCCCCAGCGAATTCCCAGACGAATCCCCGAATCACCTGTGTTTCCCCCGGCCCAGAGGGACGAGCCTTCCTTCTGGTTGAGCTTCTCCTGCACCTGTTGGTTTGCTGTTGGCTTTGCTTCCTGGTGCCGGCTTTCTAGACTCTGCACTTGTGTAGAGAAGCAGCACACGGTGCCTGGCACCGTGCAGGTGTTCAGGAAACATCGGCTCCTGCAGCCAGGGGCGTTTCTAGGGGGCACTGTGCCCCCTTCGGAGCCCCAGGAGTGCAGCTCCTCCCTGGGAGCTTTCTTCCTCCTGCTGCTGCCGCTGCTGCGTCTCGGCCACCCCCTCCCCGACCCCAGAATCCTACACAAGCACCAGCAGGCCTTGTTTCCATTAGGTCCTGTGACGCTGCCCCTTCTGATAGTTAACATGCACGCACACACACGCACACACACACGCACGCACACACACATGCACGCACGCGGCTGCTCCGTCTCATGTCCCCGCGAAGCTGGCTCCCATTAGCTTTCCACGGCAGCAGTGGACAGTACCAGGTCTGTCCGTTTCATACATCATCTCAGATTTGAAAAGCACATGAAAATGTTTCTCCATTTTCAATATTGCGTGAGTAATGTTCCCATTGAAAAGTAATGGAGTGAAGTTGTCACTTGTCAGCACAGTTATTAAGGAGGACGAGTCTCAGATCTTTCTCTCATAATAAAATAAATCTGTCAGAAAATCACTGTGCTCACGTCCTCATGCCATCGGGAGACGGAGGCTCCGGCGGCGGAGCCCTTCAATTTCCCCAGTCCAGGTGCGCCTCGGCTTGGGCCGCCCTGGGCGAGACAGCGCCACCCTGCCTGCCGACCGCCGGCTCCTGGCTAGTTGGCGTGACTTCGGCAGTGCAGCCGGGATAATTGGTTCAGGAGCGTGGCAAGCAAAGCCGCTCATTATTCCCCCAACACTGACCTTTGTCAGAGGGCTGTTTCCAGTGTTTCTCCCTCTATGATTGTTTTGTGGTGCTGCACACTGGTTTAACTTTGAATTGGCTGCATCCTAAGGATCCCGAAGCAATAGAAGCAGGCATGAGCTGCACCGCGGCACTAATCAGGGGTGTACCGTTCAGCTGCACAGCTGACTAGCTGATGGGATTTTTAAAATTGTTGCGACATTAATTAAATACGTACACTTAGGTAGTGGGTCTCCCACAAAGGCAGCCAGAGCCCTCCGCTCTTGGGCTGCATTTGCCGCAGCCTTGGAATGGGCTTTCCTGTCGGGCGTTACTTTCCTATACGGTCCACTGGTTTCTAGTAATTGAATTTTGAACTTTTTCAAGAAAAGAATTAAAAGATACTTTCGCAGTGGAAAAGTTGGGGGGGGAGTTTTGAACATTCTCCTTGAAGTGATGAGTCAGTGGAGGTAAGTCCTTTCCCAGTCTGCTTGTAGCAGGTGTGTGACTGTGTGTGTGTGTGTGTGTGCGCGCGCAGGCAGGCATGAGGATGTGTGCCTGCACACACGCGTGTCCTCAGACATGGTTTCTAAATATGCGCGGGGCCCCCATCTGTGAGCCGCAGCCCTCACCCAGATGCGAACTTTCTCTTTGCTTTGCAGTCTCGGAAAGGGAGCGACCCAGACAAAGAGAAGAAGGGGCTGGAGGGCCGTGCGGACAGCATCGGGAGCGGGCGAGCCATCCCAATTAAACAGGTACGCCGCGCCCTCCTCCCGGCCCCAGGCTGGAGACACACCTCGGTCCGCCCGTGTCGATGCTGGCTCGGCCGCCGGGGTTTGTTTGATGTGCCGTGTTGATGAATGTAGAAGTCACTCACTTGACATCAATTAGGAGAGGTTCCTGTGTGTATTCAAATGGGATCATTAGAATAAGAAGAGGGAAATGTGACAACAGATCTAATGAAGTGCAGTGTGCCCGCCTGCATATGGAGTGCGTTTCCAGGCTGAACTGACTTCAAAGGCCGCCTTTGTAGCGCGTCTTTGATTGGGCCGCTGGCCGCCAGGCGACAGGGGTAAATCAGATCGCCGTACAAGAGCCCCTTGTGATCACAGGAACAGCCCGACGTGGCCCTAATTTGCTCTCGCAGACGGACATCTGAACACTGTTTCGGGCTGGCCTGTGACAACGAGGCAATTAGCTGTGATAATCACGGCCGGTGTGTCAGCTGTGCGCTCTTGTTTGTAATTTGCTAATGAAGGAATTGTAACTTTGATTAGGTTCAGTTTCATTTAGACCTTATTATATAAAGGAACATTTACAGCTGTAATGCAGGGGCCTTAATTAAACTTCCTCATTACACAACACGACTTGAATTCAAGCATTTGTTTTGGCCTGTGCGGCTAGCCTGGAATAGGTTTTCATTAGCCGGGAACCGGATACTAAATTACTTCACGTCTCAAGCAAAAGGCCCTGCAGTGCGCTTGTGACGTCTTTGGCTGTTATCCTCTCCAAACGGAGGAGAAAGGAGTTGGGCCGCGCGCGGTGGCTGCTGGGAGCTGGGACCGGCGGCTGGTGCAGCGGTGCATCCTGCTAGAGGGCGAAAAATACCTGTGGGTGGCGTCGGAGCCGGCGCACGCTCCGTCCCCCGGCTCTGTCCCCCTGGCTCGTCTCACCCGGCACACCCCTCTCCTGCGGGGGCCTCCACCGCTTTTACTGGTCTTTCAGGAACCAGGGTCGGCCCCGGGTCCCAGTCTTTCGGCGGGAGAGGCTGGAGCACCTCTGTGATGTAGGGGTCCCTGCCTGCAACATGTGGGGGTGCAGCTGCAGGGAGAGGCCTGGTGATCTGAGTGGGAAGGTGAGGGAGGGGAATGCGTCGCACGGGGTCTCGGAGCCACAGGGTCCCCGAGAAGCCCAGGGCTGCTGAGAAAACCCCACCTCCCCCGCAGCTGACCGAGGCTGCGGGAGCTGCTTTCCGGTCCCTGCCCACAGCCCTGCGGGCGCCTTTGTGGGCAGAGGCAGGAGAGGCCCCAGGACTATACATCAGATACTGGGTCAGAGACGCGGCGACCAGTGTGTTTCTTGGCACGGGGCACCATGAAGAGAGTCTCTCCCCGCCACATATGCGGGGTCTTCAAAATGTTATAGAAAAATAGAGTTAAAAGATAAGTTTATTTTGGCTCCACAAAAAAAGGAAACCCATGCTTTTTTTTTATTAGCTTTTATAAGGTCCTTTGTGTGCGTGCATTTCAAAAGTTTCTGCAGTCAAATAAGCTAATCTTTGAATTCGATTTTCCAGAAAGTTTTTGAAGCCAGCTCTAAGACAGCAGAACGGCCTTCCCCGGTGCCGGTGGGTGGCGTTCCTCTTTACCCGAGAGAAAGCCGCGCGCGGGGCTGGCTGGCACATGCGCGTTTGCTGGAAACCCAGCCCTCTGCAGTTGTAGCGCAGAGTGTTCATGCCACCGATGTTAGCTAGAATCGTGAAAATCTCGGAAGTGATTGTTTTCCCGCTGGAAAACCTGGTGCTGGGACATTGGCTGCTGACGGATACGAATGCTTGACTAGAGTTGTTTGTCCACATCCACTCCTGGTTGGGTGGCGGCGCTCACGAGTGGGCCCGGACGCTCCTGCACACGAGCCGGGCGGCCGTGGTGTGACCGGAGCCTTCATTCAGCCTGCGCCCTGCTCGCCTGCGGAGGGCTGGATTTTCAATATGTGTGTAGGTTTCGGAATTGAGCACCCAGTGGAAAGTGGGTATGAGCCAGGCCTTGCGCGCCTTCTTCCATCGTGAGTGCTTGGGGTAATCCCGTTGAAATCTAAATCCTGGTCTGAATTCACAGTGACTCCTGGCAGAGGGAGCTGCTCTCCCTCTGAGTGCCCCACCCCCGTGCACACAGGGCAGCTCCTTCCCGGGGTCCACCCCTGGCCCAGCGAAGCGTCCCCCGGGCCCTGCTCTCCTGGGCCGTGGCGTCCCCGTCTGTAGCTGGGTTCCAGGGGGGTGTCTGGCTGCCCGCAGACACTGAGAGGTGGCGGTTCCACTGAGAAGCCCTCAGCTCCTGCAGAAGCGGACGTGTGAATGAGTCATGTCTGGGACACCCTGGCCACAGCCTTTGTGTGCGTCCCACAGATGGATGTAGGCCTGGAGGCGCCGGATCGATTTCCTCCGTGCCTCTGTGCGCCTGTGTTTCTAAAGGAACGTAGATGGTTCCCGATAGCCTGGATTCCTGACCCTCCCGCGTGACAGCTGTGACATGGAAGTGACACGAGAGGACTCTGGTGGGGGTCGTGGCATGTTCTAGAAACTCCACGGCCTTGTTTCCCGAACACAGGAGCGGTTCAGTGAGTGTTTGTGTTCAGGTGCTGTTCGGACTGCATCCCATTGAATCCTCAGCGTTACTACAGTGGAGGCAGACGGGCCACCCTCTTTGAAATGAGGGTGAACCTGCTACACCAGGAGGCTGATTCAGACCAAGCGCCTGTGTGCGGCCTCAGCATCCATCGCGCTGCCTGTTGACAGCAAGCCTTCCAGAAGCGCAGGAAGCAGCTGCCCTGTGTTTTAAGTAAGGTGTGGGAGCGGTGACCTCAGACAACCATGTCTCAGGCCCACGTGGGAGCAGCTTCTGAGGCTGTGCCTGTCCCAGCTTGTTTCTGCCGTCCGTTCTCACACAGCAGGGGTCATCCCTGTCCCCCTGACCCTCTGGGCCACATGCGTGGTCCTGCCCTCCCGAGTGGCAGATGCCTTGTGTTAACCTCACCCGTTAAAGACCTGCCTGGCCTGCGTGATTAGAGACCCCAGAACCTGCGGCCGGGCCCTGGCAGAGGAGCCACGGCAGGAACTCCAGGCAGCCTGCTCCTGTGTTTCCGACCGGCTCCTGCTTTGGTCACTGCACACAGACCTTTTGACCCCCGTCCCCCGGGAATCTTCTAAGGGGTGGCTGAGGCCTAGGGCAGGACAGCCTGGCTCGGGTTTCTGCCGGGTGTAGGAGCCCCAGTGGAGGGTTTCAGCAGCGTCTCACGTGTCCTGTGCAGCTCGCTTGCCGTGAGAGCCCATGACTTCAGCCCTTTCTCTCTCCCCCCAATTAAACCTCTCTCCTGGAATGTGACCCCTCTCCTGGGCGTGACCCCACCTCTGTGGACCTGGGCTCACCTCACCTTTTCCTGTCTGCTCTGGGGTCTCGGAGGGGATTGGTCAGAGTTCTGTCTCCTTGCTGGTAAGATGAGGTCTATTCAAACACAAGTGTGGAAGCAAAGCGGGGGAAATAACAGCCAGCGGCCCGGCTCCGCGGCGAGTGGGCCTGTCCCGTATGAATTTTTCATTGCTGCGGAGTTGTGCGTGCATAACCGCTTGATTGCAGTGGGAGTCAGGGAGCTCCTGTGGTGTCATTTGCATAAATCTTGTTAAGTCAATGGCAGTTAATGAAGTACAAATGAGCCCCGAGAAGGTGACATGCAAATCGGGGGTGGCAGATGGGAGGTCTGTTTGGGGATGGCAGCTGTGTGCTCTCCTTTCTTTCTTCCTCTTTAGCATTTTTTAATCTCTATATTTGAGTTCAGATGCGCAGCCTTGAGCCCCGACCTCCTGTCCCTCTGTGTTGCTAGCCAGAGCCAGGCCATGTCCTCCACTCCTGACGCTCAGGTTGGAAAGCAGAGACCACAGGACCTCCCTCGGCCTTACTGGACTCTAGAATCCATTTGTGTTGTGGCAAATCTTGATCGGTTTGTGGTGTCATAGTTACACAACTGAAAAGGTACACACACACACACATATGTATATATACATATATATGTTTTTAAATTTGGCAGGGACAAACACAAACAGAACCTCTTCATTAAATCTTTGGAGGCAGTAGGTGGTCTTGGGAGGTTTCAAAGATAAAGTGGTACTTGTGCCGTGATACCTTCCGTTTGGGAGTGTCTTCACTCTGCAGACCAGCTGTGGTTAGCGGTGCTCCCCATCAGGGGCTCCGTGTCAGACCACAAGGGGACCGGCTCTCCTGGGGTTAGGAAGGTGGGACACAGGGTGGGAATCGGGGTGCAGTGCAGCCCCTCGGGAGGGGCGCTCGGCCTCTGTGAGCTTTGACTGCCGTGCCCGTGACGCCGGCCATGTCCATGAGGATTTGCCCAGGGTTACTCACATCAGGCTGGTGGAGGGTCGTGGACAGAACCTGCACCCGCTCATTAGCACTTTGGAAGTTTTGAATTTGTGTCTTTCATCGTGTCGTTGATATTTTTGCGAGAAACAAGTCTGGTTGCATTGAAGAAAAGTAGGCGAAGAGAAGCAGGAGCAGTCACTCCAAAGCAGCTCACGGAGGGCGGGCGTGTGGTGCAGTGGTTAAAGCGCCGCTTGGGAAGTGTGTGGCTTTGAGTCCCGGCTCCACTTCCAGTCCCAGCTTCCTGCCTAGGTGCAGCCTGGGGCAGCTCTGATGGCTGAAGTACTTGTGTCCCTGCCATCCTTGCAGGAGGTCTGGATTTGAGTTCCTGGCCCCAGGCTTCAGGCCCAGCCTGGTCTCAGCTGTTGCCAGCGTTAGGGCGTTAAGCCGGTGGGTGGGAGGACTCTGTCCCTCTGTGCATGTGTGTGTCTGCCTTTCAAATAAATAAATTGTTATAAGTCCATGGGAAATGTATATTACATGAATTTCATTTTTGCAGCAAAATGAACTTATCTTTTATTTCCATTTTTTCCCCCGTTTTCTTAAAGTCTTGTGTTTTAAAAAGGATTTTATTTATCTGAAAGGCAGACAGGGAGACTTCAAACGCT